ACAGGAGTGTATGCTTGTGAGACTTAAGGATATCCTTATGAGCGTGACATGGGAGATAAAAGTGCCATATAAAGGCAGTTAACATGCTCACTCTCCTCTCTTGGTGCTAAATATGCCTTATGATAGCAATTATTTACTTCAAAATAGCACCTCTGCATTTTCTTATGCTCACTGTGAAAGAATATAGCTGTTTTCAAATCAAGAGGAAATAATGTGGATATCTTTGTTTTCAAATTTTTATGACATTATTAATGGTAAATATCCAATGACATGTTAGTGATGTTCTTTGCTATACTAAAAGAATTTAAGAGTAGGGAAAGAAAGCAGCAGATATATCCCATCCACAGGACTCATAAGAAATGTTTCGTTTCTGGAAGTGATTTTATTACTAGTCACTTTTGTAATATTTGACCTTTTGTTCCGTAATAAAATGCAAGTGGAAATTGTCACTGTTGTTTTATACAGTATATTATGTTATTATCTATCAAGACTGCTTGCGTAAGGTGGTTTTGTACTCTTCTAGGCATGTTAGTTCTACCTAAGTAGTGTTGGGGTTTTTTTTTTGCCCAGTCTAGCTACCCATGTTCTGATTGTTAAGATGATGAATGAACTGAAAAATCTCAGTATATCCAACATGTATAAAAATACCAATATTCATAATCTCTTTTTGCTCCTGATGTGAAGTGAGAACTTCCCATTAGCAGTAGTGGACATCAAGTGACAATCTGTATGTACTTTCACCTTATGTTAAGAGTTCTGAATATTATTCTAACTTGGCTAATAAAGGATTTTGGCAGGAAAGAGATGGACAAGCTTAGGGGAATTGAACTGTAAGGATTCTAAGAAATGTGACCCCATTTGCCTCTGTGAGATTGCTTTTGGCAGTCCCTGAGCATTAGTTGTTGACCAATTATTATGCCTAAACTTTAATAATAATAGGGGAGAATTGGTTAAAATTTTTGAGATTTTGGAAAGATTATTTCTTATTTGTAGCTGCTTTATTTTAGCATATTTGACACTGAAAACTGCAAAGTGTATTGCATTGTATTGAATTTCAGAAATATTGTGAGTAGTTGTGTAGTTTGCATATGGAATAACAATAATGAATTAGATAATGAAATACATTTTCTTCTTTTGGGATAAGCTTTGCTTTATTAAATCTAAATCATGTGAACTGTGCTCTGATAATTGTTAAAACTGACTTGACAACCTTAGCTTGGTAGAAGAAGCATTTGTATGTTATTTATAGATATTTATCAGTATTGTAGGACTCTACCTCACAAAAATGACTAGATATTTTGTCCAAGTTTCCTGAATTAGAATTTGAGAGTCCAGGTACCCTTAGATATACTGCATTACAAACATCTGATTTCTTCTTCAATTATACAGTAGTGGTTATTTTAGATTGTTTATAGCCTCCTGGGTATTGTTTTAAAAGTGAAAATACATTTCTATATTCAGATAGTATGAAACTCCTGGGATTTTCAGACTGCCCTCACATTTTCACACTTGTTCAGACAATGCTAAGAAAATGATTGTTAAAAGATTGTTGCAGACTAATAGGCAATGGAACTGTGAAGGATCTGGAGCACAAGTCCTATGTTGGGGTGGCTGAGGGAACTGGAACTGTTTATTCTGGGGGTCCAATTGATGCTTGGCTGAACATGGCCCAGCAGTGTGCCCAGGTGGCCAAGAAGGCCAATGGCATCCTGTCTTGTATCACAAATAGAGTTGCCATCAGGAGTAGATGATTATCCCTGTATACTCAAGAATGCTGTGTTCAGTTTTGGGCCTTTTGCTACAAGGAAGACAGGACCTGCAGTGTGTCTAGAAAAAGGCAATGGAGCTGAGAGGGATCTGGAGCACAGGTCCTATGCAGAGTGGCTGAGGGGCTGGAATTGTTTATTCTGGAGAAGAGGAGGCTCAAGGAAGACCTTATCGCTCTCTACAACTACCTGAAGGGAGGTACCAGAGGGAATGGCTTCAAGTTGCACCAGGGGAGATTCGGATTGGATATTAGGAAAAACTTCTCAGGAAGAGTGGTCAGACATTGGAACAGGCAGACCAGGAAGTCACTGTCTCTGGAGGTGTTCAAGATATGCTTAGATATTGTATTAAGGCACAGAGGGGTAATCTTGGTGGTAGATGGATGATTGGACTAGGTGATCTTTGAAGTCCTTTCTGACCTTGATGATTCCATGAAATGCATTTATTGAAGTTAAACTGAAAATGACTTCAATTTCTGTACTGCTTCTGAGACATAGAAGGAAGTGCTGGCTGAAGTTCTTTTTTTGTGCTTGAGCTCTGTATGGGGACAAGAATTCTGGATCAGAGAAGCTTGTAATAGTACACGCTGATTGGATTTAGCAGTAATAATCCTTTATCTTCAGTAATGCATTTAACATACAGAGTACACTATTTACCTGTCTCATATCCTTTTTCATTTCTCAGTACTTTGGTCTAACAGACCTGTCAGTTGCATGTTGCTTTCAGGGTCAGTCCTACTTCTCATGTTACTTCTATTCTTTCGACTCATTTCTTTGAAAACTTTAGAAGATTAAATGAACTACTTTCACTACCTGTTCTGCAGAGCTTTACCTATGGTTGTGTAATGTGCTGTTCATTAGGTAAAGGAAATTGAATCCTTAACACAGTTGCTCTAACACAGCATGGGGATTAATCTTCCCTCCCACTTAGGTACTGGGACATTCACTAAGTCTAACAAACTTAATGAGATGGTAAGTGTAACTGACGGCGAGAGAGGAACTTACTTATGTTTGCTTGTGAGGTATTGACTTTCTTACACTTGGAGGTCATTTGAATGTCTTTTAAGAATTACTGAAATGTTTATTGATTTCAGGGTTTAATTATTATGCCTACTCCACATCTGCTCCTTTGGTTTCTTTTCTACTAACAGATAACAGACTGTAGTTTCTACTAAAAGTTAACTCAGCTCTGTTAATAAATTAATGTAAAAATATAGCACACATTAAGAGAGAGACAAGAATACAAATATTGAGGAAGATGGAGATTTACTTAGTGTGGAAGGAAAGCACTAGGAGTGCCAGTGAAACAGCCTTTCCAGGTACGTGGATGGCTTATGGGGGCTGAGCATGGGACTACTCCAATAGCAAAGCCTGATTTCCACTTTGAGGCTCTAAGGTATGTTGATACACAGAGGTTTCAAGGCACAGAGTAGTGCCAGCCCTACAGAATGATGACGGACCCAAGTGATCTATCTTAGCACTCAAGCAGCATTGACTGCTATTCCCTCTTGGAAGCCGCAGGAATGGGACAGGATGGTGTGGAATGGCTGCACCATAGTCATGTGGCTGCAGGCATCTCTCTCAAAGTGTCTCCAACACACCAGAGAGATCACTAAGATGCCACAGCAGGCAGCAACACAGGCCAGGGGCACTTCCCTCCTGCAGTCCTGCCCAAGCCGTGGGAGCCATGAGCAGAGAGAGCAGTATGGCCACAGTCCTTCCAGGCCTTCCAGGTGACTGGATGGTGATCCAGGCCTAAAGAGCACTTGCATGCGAAATCCTGCTGCCATCCTGTTGTATGGCTGGCTGAAAACCACATGAGGAATGATTTCTAAATCTGCTGCAGAGAATTTTCAAGGAAATCCCTTCTTCCTTTGTATCTCAAGTAACAACACTTCAAACGCTTCCTTGATGTTAAAAAGCCCCTGAGGAAATAAGCTGCTAGCTGCATGTTTACTTTACCTTGGTTCAGCACAGAGGGACAGTTTGTGTGCAAAATTGGAAATCACGCTGCTAAGACAAAGCAAGCAGACAGGCTAGAAACGTTTGGCACAATGCCATTATTATATCCGTTGTGTAAAACTAGAGTTAGAAGAGGGGAAGTGTAAAGGGAAAACAAGTCACGAGGCTTGCGGCTGCAAATTAGTGTCTTAATGCCTCTTACAGGTCAGAAATGTTTTGCTCCATGCCTTTCTTTGCTAAGTAAAATACACATGCTTTCATTGTATGTTCTGATGAGAAGAGGTGACTCGTGCTTATGTGTGTTGTGAATTAAAGGGGTCATTATGTCAGCTAGTCCATAAACAAGATAAGTTATCTGTGTTATCTGTTAGAGGGGAGGCTGAAAACATTTAAATGACTTTCCCATCCCCCCCGTTTATCTTTTGGTCATTTAAGATAGCATTACCACACAGGCATTTTAGAGGGATAATTTGAAAATTATCCAAGATTCAATTACCTTCAGGTGGGCAGATGTATTTGCATTTAAAAGCAATTTTAAACAGAGAAGCAATTAAATTACAGTATATGTGTATTTAAAAGAGACCTCTTTCTACATATCTTCATTGCTTTTTCTCTCAGTCTCACTAAATGCTTGTGATTTCAAGTTTAGTCCCTTGCTTTTCACAGATGAAAAGGCAAGGCAAATAATAGGTGCTTCTGTCTGTTAAAGAGAACTTACATGTGTATGTGTGCGTGTTTGTGTATTTGGATGTATGCAGTTTCAAATAAATAGAAGCGTCATTATCATATTGTTCAAAGCATAGCAGATTCTCCTTGGTCACCTACTGATTTAAACACTGTGACTGGTGCTCAGTTTATGCTGGCTGGCTGCCAAGCAAAAGCAATTATGTGCAATAATAGCAAAATTAAGAGGTGAGTGTTGCCGTTTTACAGCAGGACATGGCAAAAACCATTTCCTTCTGTCAGCTCTGTCTTGATTACACATAATGTCAGGCATGCTCACTCTCATAACATACACGTACACACAAATATTTGCACGCAGGCTCTTGTTCTTTTTTGTTTGCTCTCTTTCCTGTGGGTTTCACCTTGAGGTCACTGAAACTAGGAAAGAGGAAGCGTTTAGACCACAGTGTTTGAAAGCAAACAAGAAAAAAACTCTGACTTTGTGGAGAAGGAAAAATATCAGAAGAAAAACAAAACAAAACAAAAAAATCCTACTCCAGTTGTTGTGATGTTGGCTGTGATAATACTTTGTTTTTATCCCACTGGCAGGTGTCCTGGTGGTAAACGTTACGTGGAGGAACAAGACTTACGTGGGAACACTGCTGGACTGCACAAAGCATGACTGGGCCCCTCCCAGGTAGGCAATTGTTCTAAGTGTGTTTTTTCTCTGCTGAGTGAGTTGTCACTCCCAGTCTCCGTCAAGAGACTGTACAGAGATAATAAAAAGCAAATGGATATAATTGAGAACATGCAGCCATGAAATGAGTAATTCCGTCTTCTCCACTGAAAATTGGGGTCCTGCAGGTGCTATGTTTTATTTGCTTTTGTTTTGTGTTTTTGAGAGGAAGTGGGAGATGCATGGGATTCAAGCAAAGGGAGATTGATTAAAAATATATATATATTTCTGTAGGTTTGGAAGAATTTTCTCTCCACTGTAATTAGGTAGTCTCATTTTTTACCATTATTGTCTTTTTTTTTTAATCTCGTTCTTTTTGAGACTCCAACACTCTTATTTGGAAGGAACATGTCCTTTAATGCACATGAAAATTCTATTATGGGAAGCAGTGTTATTTTGACATATCTCTTCAGTTCACAGCTCCTTCTGATGACATCTGCTCTTGTTTATATTTAGGTTTTGTGAATCTCCAACAAGTGACCTGGAAATGCGAGGAGGAAGGGGCAGGGGGAAGCGGGCAAGGTCCGCTGCAACTGTGGCTATACCTGGAAATGATACAAGTTTCACTGAGTCTAGAGGACTTCAGAGTAAGAATCGAGGTGGCGCTAATGGAAAGGGAAGAAGGGGCAGCCTTAACTCAAGTGGGCGCAGGACACCCCCAAATTGCTCTGTGGATGAAGTCAAAGCCAGCCCCTCATCTACAAACAAGAGAAAAACTAAGCCTCCTATGGAGCTAGACTTAAACTCCAGTTCAGAGGACAGTAAGTGTGGAAAACGTGTTCGTACTAACTCCAGAAGCACTCCAACCACCCCACAGGGGAAACCAGAGACTACTTTTTTGGACCAAGGCTGCTCTTCTCCAGTGCTGATAGACTGTCCTCACCCCAACTGCAACAAAAAGTACAAGCACATTAATGGACTACGATACCATCAGGCTCATGCACATTTAGACCCAGAAAACAAACTGGAGTTTGAGCCTGACAGTGAGGACAAAATTTCAGACTGTGAGGAACCATTGAGTAATGTGGCACTTGAATGCAGTGAACCAAGCACAAATTTGCCAGGCTTTGATCCACTAAAAGCACCAACATCTCCTTCCTCTGCTACTACCCCAGGAACCCCCAAGGGAAAAAGGGAACCGACCAGCAATGGCACCAGTTCAGTTATCAGTTCCAAAACTGGCAAGAATTCGGGCAAAAAGAAGGGTCTGAACAGTGAACTGAACAGCCTTCCAGTAATTTCTAATATGTCAGCTACACTGGATAATTGCTCTGTAACAGATGGCAATTTGCAAACTGAAATGCCAAAACTGGAGGCTGAAGGGTTAATAGAGAAGAAGAGTTTGAGTGATAAAGGCAAGAAAGGTAATAATTGCAAAGTGGATAAAAACATTTCCAAACTGAAAACAGCCCGGCCCATTGCCCCAACGCCAGCACCGGCTCCTCCTCAGTTAATAGCTATACCTTCTACAGCCTTTACAGCCAGCACTACAGGGACAATACCAGGACTGCCCTCTCTAACAACTACTGTTGTTCAGGCTACACCAAAGAGCCCTCCGCTAAAACCTATTCAACCAAAGCCCACAATTATGGGAGAGCCAAGCACTGTAAACCCAGCTCTCACATCACTCAAAGACAAAAAGAAAAGGGAGAAGCGTAAGCTAAAGGACAAAGAAAGCAAAGAGAGTGGAAGCCCTAAGATGGATTCTAAGCTGGGAAAGCTAGAGGATTCAAAAGGGTCTGGGAAAGATTTATCTGGACATTTTTTAAAGGACCATCTCAACAAGAATGAAGTGTTAGCTAATGGACTTTCTGAGTCTCAAGAGAGCAGGATGGCAAGTATTAAGGCTGAAGCTGATAAGGTTTACACATTCACAGACAATGCGCCCAGCCCTTCTATAGGGAGTGCCTCCAGGATGGAATGCAGCACTTTGGTGAATGGACAATCTTCAATGGCGCCTCTGCATGTGTTGACACAAAATGGTGCGGATAGCGCTGCTGCTAAAACCAACAGCCCTGCTTACTCTGATATTTCTGATGCAGCTGATGACGGTGGCTCTGACAGCCGGTCAGAGGGTGTGAGGTCAAAGGCCAGCTCTCCTTCGGATATTATTTCTAATAAGGACAGTGTTGTAAAAGTACATTCTTCAACCGCATCACAATCGGCACAAGCGAAAGAGTCCCATTCTCCCTATTACCATGGCTACGATCCTTATTATTCTCCAAGTTACATGCAGTCTGGACAGGTCAGTGCCCCAGCAGCTGGAAACTGCAGCACCCCACAGGGACTGAAGATCAAAAAAGAGGCAGATGAAGAGGCTGAAAAGAAAGAGAAGGGGGAACCGTCAGAAGCCAAGAAAAATGAAAGTGGTTCCTCTAATTTGCAGCCACAACATCAGTCAGTAATAACACAAAGACACCCTGCACTTGCTCAGTCACTTTATTATGGACAGTATGCCTATGGGCTCTATATGGACCAAAAGTCCTTAATGGCCTCTAACCCTGCTTACAGACAGCAGTATGAAAAATATTATGAGGACCAGCGGCTAGCAGAACAGAAGTTGGTACAGACTGGGAGGGACTGTGAAAGGAAGAATGAACCTCCCTTGAAGGAAATTGGAAAGGATGATAAGCAGAAAAATATCCCATCTGCAACTATTTCAAAGGCTCCTTCAACTCCGGAGTCAAGCAAAAGTAACACTAAAATAGGGTCTTTGGTCCCTAACAAAGGTGAGGAGACGAGCAAATCACAGATCCTTTCCAATCACCAGCAGCAGCTTCAGTCTGACAGTTTCAAAGCCAAACAAATGGAAAACCATCAGCTCATAAAGGAGGCTGTGGAGATGAAATCTGTCATGGACTCCATGAAGCAAACGGGGGTAGATCCAACCACAAGATTTAAACAGGTGAGGTCACAGGAAATGGAACAAGAATGTCTTGGTTTGTCCTTACAATGTGTGGGATTTTATCCCTGATTTTGCCATGTTCTTCTACTCTTGCAGTCAAGCAAGCTCCACCATCCTTTTTTCATGCTGGATAGTACTGTGGTCTGTGAATAGACCAATAGACCTTTCAGTTGAGCTGCTTGAAAAGAGAAAAAAATATCTAGCAAGGTGGTGACAGGATCCAGACTTAAGACTTGAACAGACTATTTTAAATTACATGCATGAATAAAAATAATTAGATTACTCTTTTAGATGTAAAAGCTAAGCAATTTGCTTAGTTCAGAAATGAGACATTTCAAGCAACATAAGCAGCTTCCATTGTGAGAGGACTTGAAGTAGATTTGAAACATGGTTTGAAGTGTTTCCTTTTTTTTTTTTCTTTTTTTTTTTGTTAAATGATAGTTGGCATTTACAAAAGATGGGTGAGCTGGTTCTTTGAAGAGTTGGCTTGAAGCTCAGCTAGTTATCTTAACCCAAGATGACCTTTTTGAAACAGTTTAGTTCCCCTTCTCTCCTTAACCAACCTCAAACCCCTACGGACCCACACAATGGATGAAATCCTTTCTCCATTGAAGTCAGTGATAGTTTTGCTGTTAACTTCAGTGGAACCAGAATTTCATCCAGTGGCTCATGGTGACCTTCCTAGATGTCAAATTTCCTTCATTCCAGGCAATGTTACTGACTCTGTGTTCTGAACTGAAGCCTCAGCACTTAACACTTTCATGTTCTGGGGTATGATACATCCCAGACTTCACCCTAGCAGTCTGTCTTTCAAGATGCAGTGGGGTCAGGTGAATGGGAGTTGGAGAGCTCTAAAGGAACTGGGATGGCACAGGCCTGAGAAGAAGATTTCTGCTGATTCAAATGAATTTTTGAACCAGACAGTCTGAGCGTCTAATTCTGTGCTTATGTTTTCATTGCATGTGCCACAAGTATGTATCTGTTAGAGCAGTGTTTGCACTTAGCTGTTCCATATTTTGCATTAAAAAAAAAAAAAAAAAAAAAAGGTCTTGCTATTATTGTTCAGTGCTGATTTAATGTAGTCTGGTAAATAAGTCATCTTTTTAATTCTATAGTGTCTACAAACTGTTTTATGTAATATATTCAGCAAGAAATGCATTTGTGATGCCCTGTACATGTACCCAAACCTTGTGGTGTTGACACTGTGAATGTTTATCCATGTGTAATTTTACAAACTTAAAACAAGACTGCCAACCTGGAGAAGCCTGCTGAAATGTCTGACCTCCACTGATTTATGAATGTTTGTAATATCAGACAGCATAATCATCTTTTCAGCTAGATCTGTTTTTTGCATTCATTGTTCCAGGTAACTTAAATGCTCTGACATATCGTTAGGCAGCTTTAATTTTGTGGTTCACAGATATTTTTTGCTCTCCACTGGGAAAATATCTCTGTGGGCTTTAATTAAAATGTTTTATGAATAGCGTGGTCTCAGAACTTTGGTACAATGCATATGTATTTCATGATTAAAATAGTTAAAGGCATGAAGAAGGATATAAGATGAAGCAGTTTTATTAAATTTTGATAATAGTCTCTTAGTCTTTCATGGGAATATTGGTTTGTCTCTAAGCTCAAGGCACTCTGTAGCAAGCAAATCTCTATGTAATATGGATATGTTATTAAACTAGCTGTTAAAAGTGCATTAAGTGAAATGTGAGGAATATCAGTATTGATTTTATTTCAATATACAAGTTTAGAACAAAATTTTCTTCTCCTCTATATTAGGATCCAGATACACGAACATGGCATCATTATGTCTATCAGCCTAAATACCTTGATCAGCAAAAATCAGAAGAACTTGATCGGGATAAAAAGTTAAAAGAAGACAGCCCTAGAAAAACACCTAACAAGGAAAGTTCCCTGCCTAACCTTCCTGTCTCATTAGCAAGCATTAAAGAGGAGCCTAAAGAGGTCAAGCGTTCTGATTCTCAGTCAGTGGATGAGAGCAAGATAAAAAACGATGATCGAAAGACTCCTGTAAATTGGAAGGACTCTCGAGGTGCTAGAGTAGCAGTTTCCTCACCAATGAGTCAGCATCAGTCATATATCCAGTACTTGCATGCTTATCCTTATCCACAGATGTATGATCCCAACCATCCAGCCTATCGAGCAGTCTCTCCTGTCCTAATGCACAGCTATCCTGGTATGTATTCTGAAATTTGCCTCATGCACTCGTTAAGATTTGCACATTCAAAGTGTAGTAAAGCTTGAATTTTATTATTTCTAATAGTAGCTAGAGTAAATCAGAAGCTCTGTGGGTGACATTTGTATTGTTAGTGCTTCCACTTGGGAAAGTTCTATAGATTAAACTGATTTGACACAAAATGTTCCTTTTTTGAACTGTCACAGTTTCCAGCCAGAGTTTCCTCAACCCTTGACTGTCTGCTGTTGCTGTTAGACTGATGGATAGCTTATTGCCTATAAAAATATTCTAAGCACTTACTGTCAAAACCATTATAGTTACTACTTCTTTCACTTAAAGAGGACCCATAAATGTATGAAATGGCTATCAGCTCAACCCTCTTTATAATCTCCATTCCATAATTAGCCATCAGCATAAATGTAGATATTTAAAAAAAAAAAAGAAGAGCAGAGCTGCTGTCTAGTAGCCACATGATCTGATCTTGATGTTACCCTCTCTCCTGGCATTCCCTTCTGCTACATCAATGCAACCAAAATGTGAAAACAGTAACCTGATGTTGTATTTCTTGTTTACCTGCAGGGGCATATCTCTCTCCAGGATTTCATTACCCAGTTTATGGGAAGATGTCAGGGAGAGAAGAGGCGGAGAAAGTCAATACCAGCCCAAGCATCAATGCGAAATCAACCACTGAGTCCAAAGCACTGGATTTGCTCCAGCAGCATGCCAGCCAGTATCGCAGCAAGTCTCCTGTTGTAAGGCCTCCTCTGTTGTTACTCAGGAGTGGTACATTTGGAGATGTGTAAAGAGCATCATTTTAAGAAGCATACGATCTGGAATCAAGCATTGAATACATAATGCTTCTTTGTAGTACTGCTTAAAATCAGTTTCAAGTCACAATTTTTCTGTGGCATAAATTAGAAGTGACACATATAACAGGGTTCTTGTGCTCAGAGTTTTCCTAACTTAAATGAATGGACTCATATGGAGCCTAGATTCAGGGATACTTCCTGGTGCACAATTTATTGCAGTTATGTAGGATGCTTCTGTTTGGAAACAGAAAACAAAATGGGAAGTTGGGCATGGGATTTGGTACTATACCCTGCTTGTATTTGCCATGAAGCCACATTTTCCAAACAGCAGATTACTAGTCCTCATTTATGAAGATTTCTGATGTTGGCAAAACACGGAGACTTTCAGACAAGTTGGTGCTGGTTTTAATTGTGAGCAAGTCACTGGCTTTCATTCTATTTTCAAAAGGTCTTTCTAGCTATTCAGGCAGGTTTGATCCCAGAGCGTTTAAAAAGGGCTGAGAAGTCTCTACATCAGTTTTTCACCAGCTTAAATAGGTTGTTCAGGCATTGGCAAGTCAGCCAAGCTTAAGGGTACGTAAAATGGAAGTCAGCATGGTGACTTCATGCTGCAGTGTATTATGCCAGCATCTCTCCTTTGTTGAATTCTTCTGTTGGGCAAATACACCAGCTTTATATTAGAATCAAGTTCAGTAATCTATTAAGTTATTAGCTTCACCATTTGAATGCAGAAGGTCCTTGACATTTAATATTGGCAAGTGCTTTCTTTGTGTTGTTTTTGTTGTTGTTGAGATTTCCTTCTTTAAAAAATAATAATAATAATAATTAATTAATCTCACATCAGTTTTCTTCCACCTTTTATTGCCAGCCCGTGGAAAAATCGGCAGCTGAGCGTGAACGGGAAGCAGAAAGGGAACGAGATCGTCATTCACCTTTTAGCCAGCGACATCTCCACACACACCATCACACACATGTTGGAATGGGTTACCCGCTTATACCTGGACAATATGACCCATTTCAAGGTGAGCAGAAGGTTTTGAGTGATAAGATTAGCTTGCCTTGTGAAGTTGTTGCTTTGACATTGCAAGTCATACCTACATGAGGCATTTTGAATAGAGATCCCCTTGTTAAATCAGAAATGCGTTACACTTAGGAAGAAGGCTTGGAAACCACAACTAGAACTAAAAGTAAATAAATAGCCTCATACCTGAAGAGATACCAGGTTTTGTTACCAAAACTGCTACTTAGAATATTATTAAAGATGTACCAGTTAGGCTGTGTCATTCATGTGCGTGTCTTGATTCCTGTTGCAAGCTGACGTTAACTGGATGAAAGACACTGAAAAACAAACAATCTCCTTTTTGTATAATTAGGGTTGTGTAGGCAACGGAAGAAGTATAGCAAAGACAAAAGCTTTTTATAATGAGGATATTTTATGTACAAGGCATTGTAGTCACAAGGGTTTGAGCTTGTTATAATTCCAGTGTCTGAAAAAGAACTCTTTGTATTCTGTCAGATGCAGTGCATAAAGTTGCAATCAGGGAAAAGCAGCACAGTGACACATGATTCATTCTCTCTAGGTTTTATCCCAGTCTCTGACCGTTTTTCAGTGAGCCTGGATTCTAGTTGAATTAAAAGGAGGTTTCCTTCCATGCAGCAAAGTACATGCAGCTATCACAATTGCTGGCTAAAACGACATTAATTCATTATGTTCACTTGGTGCCTCAGCAGCTATTTTTCCTTTGTAAAAGTCTTGACATGTCTCAGTTTGATTCAGTGATACCGTATGCTTATGGGATGCATTATGCTTGTTCAGTTGGAAAACTGTAAAATGAGAAGTCATTATGAAAGCATTGTATTCTGCGCAGCTGGCATGTCGTGTCTGTAATTGACGGTGATTTTTGGTACTTTTGTTTCCTGGTACCTGTTACTTCTACTGAGCTTACTGTTTAGGAATTCATACAAACCATTTAGCAGCATGCAGTGCAGTACTTGAAAAGAAATACAATCAGTAGGAATGTTGTATTTTCTTGTAAAATATCTGTCAAGGACAATTCAGTATACTTAGAAGAATGCACGTAGATCATACTGGCCAGGCTTCCCTAATGCTGTTGCCTGAAACATTGGCCATTTGTGTAATATGTCATGACACCCTGCCATTTCCTAATGGTGCTTTCTGTTTGTTTGCCTTAGCGATACTTCCTACCTTTTCTCACAAAGACCCATTAAAACCAGAAGTACATCAACATTCCTTCATTTCTTCTTTCCCTCAGGATTGACCTCTGCTGCCCTTGTTGCCACTCAGCAGGTGGCTGCGCAGGCATCTGCATCTGGTATGTTTCCTGCACAAAGAAGGTAAATAGCCAGTAAATCTTAAGTTATATATCTTAACAAAGAGAGGAGAAAGCAAATAATAGATTTTATAACCTGACGTTTTGAACTTCCTTGTGTGAGGAGGAAGTAAGGCTGGAACTCTGGGATAATCATAGTTTTATTCTCATCGAAGTCACATTTTGACCTGTTTTGCCTTTTAATTATAAGGTAGTTGATGAACAGGGAATAAGTAGTCTGCTTTCTGCGATTTTCCATAAATTACAAGTATCGGTATTATTAAGATAAAGTAAGTGATTCTGAAATTATAAGTTAAGATCCACTTTTATTTATTTATTTATTTACTTACTTACTTATTTATTTGTTAAAAGGGATTAAAACTTCATGCTCAGTTAGATCTGTGTCCTATGAGGAAAACTTTAGAGTTTATCTTATCTGGTTTGCTGATTTTACTATCAGAGAGTTTCGCCTCTCTAGGTTTTTCTAGGTTTTCAGTAGAGTTTACTCTCCAAGTGTCATCCTTATTTTTCAAGAGGGAAGAGACTTTTCTGTACAATAATGATCCCATTTCAGCTGAAAAGCACAAAGCACCACAATCAGAGCCTCTCTCATTGCTGCCCTGTTAAGTCTTAAAGTTTAATTTATTAGTATTAGTACTATAAAGTTCTGTGGTTATGGTTGTCTTTCTGAAAGCTGACTCTGAAAATAAATGGGCATGCAAAGCTCTCAGCTGGAATTATTTGAATAAGAAAGTTTGCTAGGTCAGAAAGGTCTGATGCACACTAGGGTTTCAAAATCGAAAAGATAAATGTTAGTGCTTTTTACCTGCTAATATGTTCCTGGCAGGGGAAGGAAGAGGACGTGGCTTGGATGTCTTTCCTGCTTGGGTTTGAGAGTGCTGTGCAGATTTTATTTCACAGTGTATCCGAGGTGCAGAAAATGTTAGGGAAAAAAGAACAGCAGATACTAAAACGTTCTTCTTTCTCTTTTCAGAGAATGATGAGTTTGGAGATGTACATTGTCATGTGACTGGATCACATGAGGAAGCGCTTTATTACAGACATCAGTTCCATGGTGTTAATTTGAAATGCCTTAATGGCAGGCAAAAACCAGTCATTTCATTTTTGTAAATTGCAGATTTTATCACAGAGTAACAAATGTTGCTGTAATTAGACTTCTGTTTTTATATATATATATGCGTATATATATATACATATATATATAAAAATATATATATATTCTTTACTTTTTTTGTATCAATAACCAGGCTCACACACAGGGTCTGCTGCTAAGTTGCAAACCACATAGTGAAAGGAGAAATGTATTTGTCATGTTTAGAAAGTGTTAACCACAAAAGGTTGTTTGTTTCTTTTCTCTTCTTCTGTTTTCTTTCTTTTTTTTTTCTTTCAAATTGTAAATAAATAATGTTATGTATCAGTGTGCCTGAACCTTGCGTACCCTTCTGATATTTCCCACAAGCTCTCAGAGAGGCTAACTGTGATGACACTTTGGTACAATGTAGATGTCTATTTGGTGGCTTCTATTAAGATGCATCAGTGTAAAATGTTACTGTATTCGCTGTTTCATTGTAATTGTGTATTGTGAAAAATATACCTTTGGAAGGCATGGGGATCTTAGTACCACAAAAACTGTGTTGTACATAATGTAAAATTTTTAAATGGAAAATAATGAGCATCTGTGAATAATGAAATGTCTTTTTTTGATAATCTTGAATGGCAGATAACCAATAGCCTGCATAACAGAAGACATCTGTGATTGTTCTATTACTTGAATAGTCCTGCAGTCTTTTTTTTAATGTTTACAATTATCCAGTTTTAGAAGAGAGACTTTAATGCCATTGCCTGGTTACTTGTTTTATGCTGTAATCTAGTTTATTTTATGTAAAATGTATATTGAATGCTTTCATTTTTATACCTGCCTTAAATAATTTGGCAATCAGAATAAAGAAAAAAAGTTGTTTTTGTACTTTCTTGGTGTCTATGGGCCACTTCAAAAACGTGTGTTGTAGGCGTAGGTAGCAGAACCTGAAGTTGCCACACAACTCCTAGTCTGTGTCTCAGAAGCATTCCCTGGGACTCAGTTACCAGTGTGCCCAGCAACGATTCTCTGCCTTTCTTGCTGGGCCTGCAGCGCTGTTTTCTCCCAGGGGCAATGTGGGACCCAAGAAGCAGACCGCTTTCTGTTGACCCCAGCAGGCTTGGAAGAGGCCCATGGTAGACTCAGGTGGCATTTGTGGTACTTGAAAAGGCACTACAGGTTTGCCTTTTTAGCACAGCTGCGGTTACTATAAAATACAGGTGATTTTTGTGTGATATCTGTATTGCCCTCCAAAATAAGCAGGTGCACAAAAATGGACAACATATAGCTTAAAAGAAAAAGGCCATTGCTGTGCTTAACCATTGGTACCTGTATTACCACAAAATAAATGTATTTTGTGGCCGTATCGCCTATTTTGTTATATTGCACTAAACACAGTACACAGGAATATGAAGACACTAATCGTAACTTGAAAAAAAAGTCAGATTTACTGGTCAGGTTTTTGAGGCTTTAAATTCTATCCTTTCCTACATATCCCAGTTGTATCACCTGTTGAAACTATTTTTTAAAGTTTAATATTGTTTTGGTTTTTTTTTGGCAGGGTGAATTAATGGAAGTTAGAGCTTGTTTATGAAGTCCATTCCATTTCTCCCGCCTTGTGAATACTTAATACAGATGGATGAATTAAAGATCCTCAGCAGACAAGCACACTTGGAGTTTTTATATTGCTATGATGAATCTGCCATTCATATTGCTATAATTGTTTTATTTTTATAGACGTAAAATCAGTTCCCTTAGTGGCTAGTAGTAAGGCTTGTTGATTTTTAATATACATTATTCATCTGTGGCTTACTTACATCTTGTTCTGAAAACGTTCATAAGGCTCACAGTGCTGACATACCACAAGCTAGCTTCATCAGAAATGGGCAGAAAAGGGTGCTTTTTTTGGAGATGGGGATATTGTGAATACAGAACTCCTGAAAAATAAGTGCCTTATGACTTCTATATTAAAAGCCTAGATGGCTTTTGTATTGAGATATGCCATTGATTTCTTTTCCGTCTAGACTGCTAATGCTTCTGCAGGAAAACAGATCTTACAAATTCACACAATCTGTGATTTTGATTTGGTTGGTTTAATATTGTGTTGTAGGTAACTGGAATGAATTACTCTGATTGATACAGGGTAAGCAGCAGCTAAAATAATATTTAATGTTATAGCTTTATTATATCCTTGAAATCTGTAAGAGCGGCTTATGGGCATTGCCATTTATTATCTTCCTCCACTAAGGTTAATTATTTCCCTCTATCTTCATAACTTTCTTTTTGATTTAATGCTTGCCACTTCCTTAAAGGCTATGCAACTGGTTCAGTACTCCTCAAAGCCAAAAGCTGTTCAGCAACATGTCCAAGCTTGACATGCAACTGCTGTAATCATCTAATCCCTGTATATCCAAATGATGAGCAGAATTAAGCAGTAATATGAGGAAGGCAGTTTACAAACCTGGGAACTAAGGGCTGCAGAAGCTGATAGCTGGCAAGGGGCATCTGAAGCAATGTGGTACAGTCGTACCTGTACCTTGTTGTCCATGGGCAGGGCTTGCACTCCTTGTGACTTGCAACTAACAACCCTATTTCTCTGCTCTTACAGCAGCTACTATCAATGAACATACTCTGTCTTTCATTAAAATGTTGCTAGACATCTCTAAGAGATGAACTAGGGCTTTGTTTTTACACTTACTTCTCTGAGTTTCTAATCTGTCCATGCCATGCAGCTAGAGGAATGAAACGTCTCGTCAGTGGGAGCCCACCACACCAACCCACAAAGCCCAGCCAGGGAGCTATTGCCTGTGATGCTTGCACTGGGAAAAAACAGATGTGAATCAAGAGGCGGTAGGTTGTTTTGTTTTGTTGTTGCTTTTGATCAGTCTTGCAATTCTAGAGGCTGAAATAGGATGGAGATCTAAAAGACAACTGGATGGCTGTCCTAGCTAGACTATTGAAAATGGGGCCCAAGAAAAACATTTTTCCAGTTTTGTATGTGGCCTTGGGAACCTAAGAACTTAAAGAACTAATTTTGTGCTGTCTCCTCCATCCCTGGCTTCTGAAGGGTGTGTTGCTTGGATGTAATCACTGGGTCACCAGTCTGCAACAAATGCTGGCAGTGCATGTGCCTTCAGTAGCTGTGAGGTGAGAGAACCCACGAATCCATACTAGAATGTACCATGTACAGCTGATAGTACAAAAACTGGCATAAAAAAGAGCTTCAGAAGTGCGTTTCTGCAGTTCCCCATCCTGGCTGTTGTCAGGGAGGGTGAAAGAATCATGCAAGAAATCTAGTGCTTATTTCCTTCTGGCATCACGATCTTGCCACTGTTTGATCACAGCTAACAAATGTACTGTCCTCATCATTCTGCCTCAGAATATCACACTAAATAATGGTTTGCCATGCTCTCTTGCTCTTTCACATCTCTCTCCTACTCTTCTCTCTACTTGTTCACTTAACAAGCTCTCAAGCTTTCGTCCATTCGATACCATTAAAACTCAGCCTTCCTGTTTGTATAGCTAAAAACCCACATAGATTTATGAACTCAGCCCTTGCTTGATTACTTCTCTGCCTCTTTCCTTTTATCACCCTCCCTTTCTGAGCTGTATTTTAAATTTATCTTATGCTGTGTTAATGCATCCTATTTCTCTTCAGCCTGAAGTGTTGTGGAAAGAATGTCTTGCTTCACCCTTATACAGAACAAGTCTTATTTATAGCTTCTTCTGAATAATAGTAATGGATGATTTTAAGATAGCATAGATGATAGTGTAAGATGTCCTGAGTAGCTAGAGCAGATCATTATTAACAAGGAGCTTACTAACAAAAGACATTACAGATTTAAAGGGAATTTTGAAACCTTCTAATGACCCAAGAACTGGAAAAAATATCAAGCCCATAGAAGCAATTTGACAGTGTAGCTCTTTGAATCAGAGAGAGATGGAGGTATACAGTCATTACATAATGAACCAGCTTTGCTTTTCTTTAGAAAGAAAACTGTTTTCTTCATTTGTTTCAGTTTTAATCTTTTACATAGCTTTCTGTATCAACTCTCTGTAAAATCACCATGAACTATGATTTTCCTTGATGGTTTTACTCATATCAGCATTTCCTAAGTTCACAAAGTTTTAGCCTTTTCTTTAAGGTTTCTTGTTTTGTTTTGTTTTGTTTTGTTTTGTTTTGTTTTGTTTTGTTTTGTTTTTGAGCAAGTCCTACTTTACTGAGATGTTACTTTTACTGAGAAATGCATGTGGATATCATTCAAGAGAAGTCACATTTGACTCTCAGAAGCAGCATAAGCTATCTGCTTCAATTTGAAGTGGAAAAACCCCAGGTCATTTTTGTTATGTTCTTCCCCCTTCTTTAGAGCATGAGATTTAGAAAATCTGTTTTTCATAGAAACTGGAAAACAAAAGAAGTCTAATAATCTATATGTGTTTTTCAGCTCAGTTTCAGGACACCTTACTGATCCATTCTGCCTTACCAGAGCGCACAGAAAGTCCTTTCTGACCTATCCATTGTCTTTTAGCAGTTGAGTCTGTTTATTCTGAGGGAGGGGAAGGCTTTTCAAAGATACTATTTTTCACCTTCTCAACCATTTTAAGGTAGTTTGGTGGCTGTAGGAAACCATTAAAATCTTTATAGCGACTCTTACTAATTGCAACGAGCAAAATAGTGCTTTCAACTCTTAAACTTCTTATCTAGGCTGATAAATGAGCAAACTCAAGGATTTTGCAAAGGTAATTATTATTTGCCACTTGACAATATTTATCATGCAGAAAACTTGTTATCCACTGTAATGTCGTAGAGAAGTGCTCTGGGGACTTTGAAAGCAGGTGTTATTATAGACAGATGAACTGCTATAGATCAAGGTCATAACTAGTTCTGTTTGAATAGCTACATAGTATTTTCAGCAGCCTTGTGAAGTATTTTGAGGTGGTATAATGGTGTGTGTTAGTTATGTGATTTCCATCGTTTGAATTTGCTGATGTAGAACTGTGCTTGTTTGTAGTTTTCACCATAATGCTTCAGGGTTGCTTTGTGAAACTGAGTAGTATAGCAGCGCCTGATGAAAAAAGAACTGAGGAAGCAACAATTCTGTGAAAGCCTGTTTAAGTGCTGAACACAAATTTCAAAGTATGCATCTTGACAGGTAGAGTAAATGGTTGCAGTCCTTGGCTGGAGAGGATGGATGGGACCAGGACAGTCCAAAGAAACCCCTACCCCAACTTGAATGTGGTGAACCAAGGATGTGCAGTTTGCTGCTGCAAGACTTGTTTTGGAACTGTTTCTAATAGAAGAGTATGCAGGAACTGTGCTTCAGTCGAACCCTTGTTAATATTTTCTTAATTAGCCCAGTGAAAGTCGAAAGAGTGGAAATGAGATGCAGGATATATAGCCCCAGAGTTTTCTGATCCGAGAACCTCCTAGGTAGTACTTTCTGCAGTTTGTATTTTCTCACTTTTATAAAACTTGTCCATGTGACACTAGAAATAACTTGAGGGAGGAAGGGAAGATTTTCCTCTCCGCCATGCAGTATGGATGACTAAAAGGAACAGGATTTGCACTTAGTTTTAAAAAGAGCTGGCCTTTAATATGTGTGCTGAAATTGAGTAGCTTTCTTGAGCAGAACCAGTTTCTACTTGATAAGCCTTCATTCTGCTGTGCTGGCCACTTCAGACACCTGCCTACCTTCTTCCTTTGGGTCTCTGTGTTTCCCGGGTGAAGCAGAAGGAAGCAGATCAAGGACTAGATGGACTGCAGGGATGGCCTGACAGTTCCGCTTTTCCATTGCATGCCAGAGCAAGGCTTTTGTAATTCCTTTTCTCCACACTTTCCCTACCTCTGTCTCCAGGTCAGTTTTAAGTGTTTGCAGTGATAAGCCCCATCAAGCTGCTGATCTTTAAGCAGAGCTCCAGACAGAAAGGTCATTAAAATGTCAGTAACACAATATGTCTCCCATGCCTTGCTTTGGGATGTAACAATTTAATACCAGGCTTTGCCTCCAGTATCTGCTGAGCCCCTTAATGATCTTCCTACTTTCAAATGAACTGGTTTCCTCTAATAGAGAATTTGCCAAAATCCTCAGCCTCTGTAGATGTCTTTTGACTTACTGATGTCAGATGGCCATTTTATATTTTATATATTGTGGTAATTTAATATTGATGAGTAGTTCAGCACCAACAGGACATTTTCTCATTCCCTTTCCTCAGAGGGCAGAGGGAGAAAATAGTAAAAAAGGCTGAAGGATAAGGACAGGGAGATTGTTCCCCAATTACCGTCATGAGCAAAAGAGGCGTAGCGTAAGACACAGAAGTAATTTGTTGCCAACTAATAACAGACCAGAGCAATGAGAACTAAAAGCAAACAAACTGAACCACCATCTTCCCATCCATATTCTTTGTTCACCTCCCCACAGGTGCCACAGAGGAACAGAGGACAGTGGCTGCCGTGGTCAGCCATTAACACTTTATCTCTGCACCTCTACATGGTCATTCTCTGCCTCTGCTGCACATGGGTCCCTCCCATAGATGCCATCCTTCCCAATCTGATCCTGCATAAGCCCCCCAGGCAGCAGCTCTCCAAGCACTGCTCCTGCACCATGCCACCCTTCAGGCACTGCTCTGCCAGCCTCCTGCTGCCCCATGGGCTGCTCTGCGTGGGCTGCAGCTCCAGCCTAGGACTGCTCCTGTGTGGTACCCACAGCTGTACCTCCTCCAAGCCACATCCACGGCTGCATCAGGGGCTCCTCTGTGTCCACATGTAGAGATGTGCTCCATGCGGTGTCCATGGGCTGCAGGGAGCTGCTGCTCAGTGTCTGGAGCACCTCTCATCTTCCTGCCCCATCCTCAGGGCCCACAGGGCTGCTTCTCTCACACAGCTCACCATTCTCTCCCAGCTGCTGTCGAGTGACAATTTTTCCTTTCCCAAACCTGCTGTCCAAGAGTGCACCCAGCACTGTTCATGGCCCAGTTCTGGCAATACTGGGTCTCTTCTGGAGCAGTTGAAGATGGCTGTGATCTGACATGGGGCAGTGCTGGGCCCTGCTCACAGAACCCCTGCAGCACCGCTGTTAACCAAACCTAGGTAGATCATTTGAGTTACATACAGAGAGGGGAGGGAATTATTAAAGGCTTGTCCTGGTGGTTAAGCAGGACAGGACACTTTGACACGGAAGTCACCAAGCCAAAAACTGCTGAATCTGCCCTAAAGACTTCAGTGCTAAAATCTACTGAAACAGGAGGATTTGGTGAGGCACAGGTCCAGCAAGATCACCCAAGCAGAATAAACAACTGTGGCACTACATAAGTCACTAACTAACCTAGGGTGAGTTAGAAAACACTGATACTGTGAATTGCAGTGCTCTGGTGCATAAAGCTCTGGTTCTGGACAGATGGCTTCCCACAGCCAACACAGAACATACGTCTTCAGATCCAGTCGGACTGTCCTGAATGCTCAGGCAGCTGCTGCAGGCTTAACAAGTTGCTGCTGGCTCATGAGCTGCCATCTCAGTACGGTTTGATTTCTTCAGTACCACGGGTCTGCAGCAGCAAGAGACGCAATGTTTGTTATGCCACAAGTGGTGGAACTTACTGAGTCCAAACAACTTACAGAAGATGAAGCAGCATAAAGTATGAAGTAGCCTACAAGCTCAAGCATGGCCATGACAACAGTCTATAGAAGGCACTATGCTTGTCACATCTCTAATATGCAATTCCCCTATCTCCAAAAGAATGTGATTTCTCTTATCTTTGAACTGCTATACACCAGGGACAGGTCTCTTCTGCCTGCCATGTGAAAACAGGAGTTACTGTTCTGTAGAGAAAGAGAATATAATTGCAGAGTAGAATATTGTCAGCTAGGAGACTATCCGTCAAATTAGAGGGTGTATTTCTCCATTTGCACTCCCAGTTGTGGCAGTAAATTGAAAGCTTTGGTTCTCTGTTTTCTTGTTAAGTAGATCAATTCTCATATTCTTTTGGGGCACACAAAATGGCAGTATTAGATTACTAGCTATCAGTAAGAAGGGCCTATATCTTTTCTCGTTAATTGGCTGATACACATTATAAGAATCCATCTTGGATATTCTTCTCAATGGGAAATCATAGTTTTGTTCTTACTAAATCTTTTATTTTGGCTGCTGCATTTTCAAACAGCATGCAATGTAGATAAGGGGGATCCCAGCTGAAATCTTCAGGACAGTTTTTATATGTTTTCAAAATTTGTATCACATTCTCGTATTGCCTATCACAGTATTTGACAGAATCAGACTCTTTCCAGTTGTACCCAGTGGCAGGACAAAGGCCACAGGATGAAACTCTTTACTGCGTGGATGACAGCAAGCACATTGCAGTAGATGATGAATAAGTGTAATGCAAGTGCATGGCATTGGTTCTGGAGAGGGAGGAGTGGGAGGGGTTTATCAGGGCAGCTTAGAGCAGTGCAGGACCACTTTGCCACTTGCCCTTTCACACACCCACACCCCTTTCTAGACTGTTTGCCCGTGGCTGTATTTACTCTCTATTAGTCCCCAGTGATAGCATCAAGGTTGGATGCTGTTCTTGAATCAACAGTTGAATTCTCCCTGTTCTAACACCATCAGGAGTAAATTGCTAGCTAATCACCAAGGAAAAGAGATTTGCAGTACAAGTTATTCTGGGACAAGTGCAGCTAGTAAAGACAAGATTTTAGTGGCTTTCTTGCCTATTTGGAATTTCAGATTTTCAATAATTAGTGAACTGCTTAGTATTTCCCTATATGAGACCACTACTAGGCTGTCTCTCCTATGGCTATTTACAAGTTCTTATAAAATTATAGGTCTTTGAAGCATCTGTCAGTAGTTTAATTGCAACAGGCTCAAATGTTATGTGCAAGGGAAGGGCTACACATGGTTTAATCACAGGAACTGTAAATGAGAGTTATGTCAGGCTCTCCTCTTGTGTGTGTCCTAAACAGTCAAAAAGGCAAACAGCCTAAAGCAGCTGTGAGTGTAACCACATCTTTTCCCCTCACAGCTGTGGGGTGACTGCGGCTTCCGTCAGGCCCTGTATGTGCAACTGCACTGTGCTCTGCACCACAAGTTCAGTGCAGAATGTCTCCAGGGACCACAGCTGTAGTAAAGAGAAGTAGCTGTATTTCATTTGTTTTCTTACAAGTGTAAAGCCATGAATAACGTGAGAAACTGACAGAAGCCTAAGCAGCGACTCCTGACTCCTAGATCTGTCAGTAGTCACAAGAATGAATAACCTCGAATTAGTCTGTTATAGAGGTATTTATATGTTTAGCTGTAGGTTTAACGTGGCTTTATTACCATGACACAAGGAACAGGAAAGTCTGGATTTAAGAAAAGCTACAGCCATTATTTTTAATGTTTCTGGGTGCCAAGAGACACTAGTGAATATTTCTGCTCTTTTATAATAAGCTAGTTCAGACGTAGGAGAAGAAAGGTTTATTTTTGAAAGCTGTGAGTAGTAACAACATAACGGTTTCATTATCTAAATTTCAGTCACAACAAGGACAAAAAAAAAATCTCTCTTATGCATGCTGAAGAGCTTTTCAGCCCTGAAAAAAACAATCAATACCATATTCACACTAATGTTTGCTTGCATAATATATTGACTGTAGACACACTGGCAGTTTTACATAATAACTTAAAAGCAGTCTTGATCGTTTGAAAGGTTATAATTGTTTTTCCCCTTTCCTGAAAGGGTAATGAAAGGACAACTAAAAAGCAGAACTATATAGTTATTTTCTAACTGGCACTAACAAATTTCTCCAATTACAGAGTCCATTCTGTAAGCAATGAATGTGTGGCTCCCAATTAATCTAGTGTACCTCTAGGCAAGGTCTAAATCAGCTGGATACAGCTAAAGCAATTTGCACACAGCTAAAAGCAAATTGGAAAATAAGTGTTCCACACTACTGCCTATCTTCCCAAGCCAAATACACAATGGTATGCTGGCAGCAGCGCTCTGTCATGTTATTTGCAGCTATCAATTTTAATTATAACAATTATTGATTAGTTGGGAAAGTGAATAACCTAATGTTCAAAGGAGATTGTCACGGCTTCTGGGGATCTTTTTTCCCTTTCATGCATACGTCTGTGCAAATGTTAGGAAATACTAAGAAGATACCTGCTTCACTTTACTGAGTTTAGCTAACTATGAAGTTGCAGCAGTGATTTTTGTTGCTGTTTTTGCTTACAACAGAAGTTGATATGAGTTGAACAGAGGCTCAGTTCAGGACTGCAGGACAAAAATTCCAAATGTGGGCACGTATCTACTTTCTTATTTAACCACCCAAGCAAATGAGCTGCTTTGTACAGGGAGAGACCTTCTGTTGCCCAATGACTCCAGCTATTTTGCTAGCCTACGTACTTTTAGAAACAAGCTGTTTCTTTTTGTAGAACAGCGCTTCTCTTTAAAGAGAGAAAAGAGGAAATAGTCCAATCCTTGCTGCGCTGAGGGTTGTATGAATTTCAGCTAAATAAATAGAGTCAAGAAGAGTACATCCAGAATGGAGCAGGGTTTCAACCTGCTGAACAGACGTCCAAGTTTTTGGTGCAATACTCTCCTTTGCTATGTTGCTGAAGACTCAGTATCACTTGGAGTGATCAACCAAGCAGACAGCTACTGGGCACTGCATGCCAAAGACACCCTCCAGGAGCATTATGGACTGCCTCCTCCAAAGCTGGTGGACAAAGGGACGTTTCCCTCCATGCCTCAATCTTTTCCAGAGCTGAAACCTGTAGCTATTGGGGCAGCTTAACTGGACAACAAGACCTCTCCACCGGATCAAGAGCCAGAGAGCCAGAGAGCTTGCTAACAGCCCTTGATATCAGAGAACACAAACAGCAAAAAATTTTGAAGGTGATGGAGTGAATCCTGGATGTGCCAATCAGGGGAATGGCCGTGTCTGGTAACAAACAGCTTCCTGAGAGAAAAACAGTGGAACCATTCAGAAGACATGCGTATGTGTCATCATCTGGTCACCTTCAGTGTATGTACACGATGGATGTGATATCTCCTGCTCTGTATCTTTTCTTTCTAAGCTCTTTTGCACAGTGTCAGGATTTAGTATTCTCATTCAAATTATTTTACCCCATATTCCAAAGCTTACAGGAGGCTCTGCTCAATCTTACAAAGGCGTGTTTAAAGACAGAACCCTGTCCCAGCCTTTTTCTTATTCCTTTCTTTCTCTTCTGTTGCATTAAGGGCAAAAACCAAATAAATAGCAGCTTCCTGCTTAATAATATTTAACACTTTAGCTTTGTTGTATCAGAGAACCATGAAAAATTATAGTTTACAGTCCCTTAGCTGGCCCAGGATGAGTGGCACCATGTCCACTGAGTGCTGGGAACCTGTTTGCTTGGCAGTCCTTGCTGCATGACAGATGAAGGAAGTCAAAGTGAAAACCAAAGAGCATTAGACAAACCATCTTCTGGTTGACTTGACGTGGCCACAAGCAAATACATGGGGCAGAGCAAGAAGAAACCCATCTATGCCAGTGTTCTCCCATCTTCTGACAGTTTTCTCAACCTTTTTAATTTGTTCTACACAATAATGTACAAACTTTGAATTCAGAGTGCTAGCTCATTCTCCTGTTGGATGCAATATGAAATTCCTAAATTCACAGTGTTCCTTGCCGTGGACTTTCCACATGTACTACACATTGCGTGGAAATGTGCTGACTGTGATGCCTGTTACCTTTATTTGATAGATGGATTCTTGTACTGGAAATCACAGCATACAATTTCTCTAATCACCTTCCCTCTGTGTCTCTTGTGATCTTTAGACTTAAATGTGTTTTCTCATAAGCGCTCTTTTTTTCACACTGACGACAGCCAAACTAATTGTTGTGGGTTTTTGTTGTTGTTTGTTTTGTTCTGTTTTGTTTTGTTTTCCCTGTTTTCCTTTTCTCCTCTGTATGGAGTCTTTTAATCATCCTTGTCATCCTTCTCTGAACTTTCTCTGAACATCATTTACTGTTGAAGAGGCAAATATCCATCTTTCCTTTGTGAGAACTCCCCATTTATTTCCACCCTTTACCTCCTGGGTTTTAGCCAGTTACATCTCTATTTGTGCATTTATTCTGGTGAGTTTCTTTAAAAACCATAGTGTTGTGGTTTCAGAATTAATCTTCTTTGTGGAGGATCATGTGATGCTGCATTTTGGATTTGTGTGAAAAGTGATGTTGCAAACTCAACAATACTTCAGTTATTGCAGAGCAGTAGTAGCACAGAGACAAGGTCTTTTCTGTTTCTGGTGCTGCCCTGCCAGCCAGGAGCTGGGGATGCACAAGGAGAAGGGAGGGGATACAGCAAGGACAGCTGACCTAAACTGGATGAAGGGATGTCTCATACACTATCATGGGGTAGGTGTTCAAAGTGAAGCATTTGTCTTCTCAAGAAACCACTATGTGTGATGAGCCCTGCTTTCCTGGAACGTCTGCCTGTTGATGGGAAGTAGTGAATGAATACCTTATTTTGCTTTTGCTTTACCTAGTAACCTGTCTTTATCTCAACCCATGAGTTCTTGCACTTTTACCTTTCTGATTCTCTCCCTCATGCCACCTGAGGTGAATGAGGGAGTGGCTGGGTAGAGCTGCCTACTGGGTTAAATCAACTCAGTATAGGGCACAAAAGGTTTGAGGTGATGACAGTTTTAATTGGAGTGTAGAGATGTTATAGCTGTTTAGCTGCTAACTGGCAGGCTCCTGTGCTTGTCATGGGGCTTGCTTGCCTTATCGTATATTAGAGTTCAGTGCTTGTTAGTGACTGCTTTTGCTTCTGCCATTTGCTGTACTCTCTTAGCATCTTGCTTTGCTGAGCCTGGGAACATTTGGTAACAGTATGTGCCTGGGCTGTCAAATGGATGGGGTATCACTGCTTTTCCTGTGCTGCCGTATTGGACAGGCTGGGATTTCAGTATGAGCTTGAGTCAGAGGAACTGTGACCTGTGGATGAGTCCACATGGAAGTATATACATCTCAATGTGTCTGTGGCTATGGCGCAGCAGGTCCACCTTGCAGTGTTCATATCTGTGGATATGGTCATACCACAATACTTTGAAGCATCTGTCACAGTGGATAAGAACATTATACAGTAGGTAACTGAAGGTTCTATGGCCAATGGATGAGGCCATGCCAGAGCAGGTACACTTCGAAAGGATCGTAGTTAATGGACAATTCCAAACTGGAAGGGACAAGGAGAGGAGTTCTTTGCAATGTTAAATGCTTTGGCCTGATCTGAATATTCAAGGAGCGGAGATTGTAATAGTTATAATAAATCTTTAAATTGTTGTAATTCTTTATTTAAGTTACATATTATAAGGAAATTCTATAGCAGGAACCATTTGAATCAGTGGAAGATGAACCTCACAAGGAACAGTGCAAGTACAGCAGTGACTCAACATGAATTGTCTTTGGCAGCCAGTAACTCCATGCAACACACTGCTTCTCCTGTCCTGAGCAACCACCGAAACAGACAGAAGCTAAGTCGTGGACTAAAAGAACTCAGTGGACATTTTATGGACATTTCACAGGGATGATCCATAGACTAAGAGAATGATATCTGTGTATCAACTGAAAGCTTGTAATTAATGAGAATGTATTGGAAAGTGTAGGACATGAGCATGACGTGAATGATATGGAATAAGGGGTGGATATTGTCATAGTTTTGTCTGGAATTGAGTCTTCTTTTTTGTAAAGGCTGATTTTAGCTTTTTTGCTTGTTTGTTTATTTTCAAAAATAGTGGGGATAAATCAACAATATTTTAGTTGTTGCAAAGTAGTACTTACACAGAGCCATGGACTTTTCAGCTTCTCACACCACCCTGCCAGTGAGGAGCTGGAGGTACACAAGAAGCTAAGAGGGAACACCCCTATTGACCAAAGGGATATTCCATACCATGTAGTGTCATGCTCATCAATAAAATACAGAGTAAATAAAGAGGGAGGGTGGGATGTTTGGAGTAATGGAGTTTGTATTCCCAAGAAACCATTACATGTGATGAGCCCTGCTTTCCTGGAAGTGGCTGAACATCTGCCTGCCAATGGGAAGTAGTGAATGAATTCCTTATTTTGCTTTGCTTGTGCACACTGCTTTTGCTTTACCTAGTAAACTGTCTTTATGTCAACCTATGAGGTCTTGCACTTTTACCTTTTTGATTTTTCTCCCTCATTCCACCTAGGGAGAGTTGCTGTGTTATTTAGCTCCCTGTTGGGGTTAAATCACAACACAGTGAAAATCTCTGTCAAAAGCCTTTTGGAAAGCCCACTAAACAATATTGTTTGTGTGAGCTGGTTTTCCATTTTATCCCCTGGAAGACTGTCAAGGCAAACTAAGGCAGAATTTCTCCTGCCAGAAATTGTACACAGAAGCCAAATCCAGAAGAGCATTTTGTGTTTGCATACAGCAGGAAAGAGAAGTCATGAGCACTTCAACATTTTAATCTAGTACTGTGAACTGTTATGTGATTTCATGCAGCCCTGTGTTGTACTAACAGGCAATGCTTGAGTAACATCTGATTTGGCACTGTAAATCCGGTAGTGTTCAGTATTCAAACTATCATGATTACAGACTCAGTAGTAGTGCACTGCTCAGTTCATCTAGTGGCATTCAGTGAGCTAACATGACTTTTTTATTGCTGTGGCAGCATTCAATCAGAATTCATACAGCTAAACCCATGAGGGAATTTTGCCCATGCCTAAGTAGAACTCACACAACATGTTCATAGAATTGCAGCTTATTATTAAGAAATTAAAGGTTCTTTTATATTGCCAATAAGTAATTCACTGCCTACGAAGTGTCTCAGGTGGCAAGGTTAACCAAAAACAGTGCAAAGCAGTTGCAAAAAACTAAGAGCAATGCAGCCTGGCCACAAGTACACTAAATTAGAAATTAAGCTCTTTACAGATTACTAAATTTCCCAGAGGAATCCTCAGGATAGCCAAGTGTGTGAGCCTTACGCAACAGGATTCCCTACTTGAGGGAAGAGAGGTTCAGCCCATCAACTGATCCCAAGAGGCAACCCACATCTAACTTGTCTACAATAGTGTCTTCCCTAATATATTCCCCCTCTCTTAAGCCATTTTATTTCTTATTGTGCCAGAGGAGCTCATTACATACCTCTGTTCTGCTTGATGTAAAATTCTCCCTCTTCACTTTTAAAGTTATGGGCTAAAAAATCAGAGTGCATGCTCAGTGAGGGGGTGGCTGCACATTAAAGGTGAGTAACTTTTGGGATGGAGGTATGTTTTGGTGTTACAGTGAGCACATAATGAGCAAAGTTTACCTAAAGGACGCTAGAAGAAATTATGGACTCTTGGCCAAGGGGTAGCAGGTAACAGTTTTTTGGTGCCTTGGCACCACCAAATCCCTATCCTGGTATTGTTTTTCTTAGAGTCGGTACATCATGTACACCTGATGTTATCAACATCTAAGGTTGCCTAGGGAGCTACTATGGATCACAGATCCTGGCTGTAGAGCCTCCAATTTGCTCCAACATCTGTGCCATTTTATGGCATACAAACTGTGCTCAGCTTCATGCCCCTGTGGACAGTTTGTACCTTGGTTTCCAGTGAACAGTGCTGTACCTTAAGCAGTTATTCCACAAACTAGAACAGAGCAGGTGAGACACAACTGTCTTAGAACACTTTACAGAACACAGACAGCTTAGGAAGGTGAGAATCATGCACCAATAGCTGTATGTTCTTACACCCACCTCAGTGTTGAGCTCCTAGAATCACAGAACACCCAACCTGAGGCAAGTCAGATAAAGTAGGTTGCTCAGGGCTGCATCCATTTGGGTTTAAACAGTTAAAGGATGCAAATCCCACACCTCTCCAGTTCTCTCTTCCAGTGATTCACCACATTTATGGTGAAAACTGTGTGTCTTTATTACACCTAGGTGAAGTTTCCCATGTACCAACTTGTATCTGTTTTCTCTCCTACTTCTTTTCAGGTTTGGGCAGGATCTGGCTCCACTTTTTCTATATCCTCCCACTAAGTAGCTGCAGACATCAATCAGATCTCCCTTCAGCCTTTCTTTACCAACACTGCACAAAAACCAGTAACTTCTACTCAAAAGGAAGTTTACGCATCATTTTGATGGGGGTTGGACTCGATGATCTCTAGAGGTCCCTTCCAACCCCTACAATTCTGTGATTCTGTGATTATGTGATAGCAGCAGTAGCATGTTTTAAGTCTTGTCCTTATGAATGAATGGGACAGGACCAGGACAGGAGTGTAATTCACATGGAGTTAGAATAAATGTTTAAGATTTTTTTTTTTTTTTTAAATTAGATTTCTGCAGATTAAGTGATTAGATCTAAAAAAGTCACCCTGCAAGTTACAAATGATTTGTTAAGAACTGATTGAATGATGTAGTATGTACAACATGCACTGGGGCAAAGCGTATATGCAAGGAAGTTCATTCCTAACAGAGTACTGACCTCTGAGGGGGCCATTAAAAGCTAATTAAAAATTAAAGCAAAGCAGGTTTCACCAGGTTGGGCTGACGTGATTTCAGTACCGTGATACGGCAGAATGTCTGACACAAACTTTGCAAAGACCAGCTAAGATCTTAACTGTTAACTTACACCCTCCACAGCCTGTGCATTGCTTTTGATGTTCAGCAGAAGGGATAGGAATCAGGAGCACAGCTTTCCCTTCCCAGTGAGAGACTTCACCCATGGGACTGGTCATTCCTCTGTCTAATGGAATGTTACATGCCACACCATGTTATCTCCTCTGCCATTTTACTACTTTTCATATATAAGTGAACCCACCAGGGAGCAAAGTAGGAAAGTGAGCTGAGTTATATAAATAGAAATACTATAAATATCTAAGATGTGTGGGGCAGGGTGGTGAGGCCAGAATGTTTTCAGCAGTATGTGGAGACAGGACAAGGGGAAATGGCCAGAAACTGGAGCATAGGAAGTTCCACGCAAATGTGCGCAAGAACTTCTTTACAGTGAGGGTGACGGAGCACTGGAACAGGCTGCCCAGGGAGGTTGTGGAGTCTCCTTCTCTGGAGATATTCAAGACCTGCCTGGACGCCTACCTGTGCGACCTGGTGTAGGGAGCCTGCTTTGGCAGGGGGGTTGGACTCGAGGATCTCTGGAGGTCCCTTCCGACCCCTATGATTCTGCGATTCTGTGATTTTGTGAGTTTTTCCAGTCTGCTGGTTATGCACAGATTCTTCTCTCAGTCACTCCGAAGAATACACTGAAGTACATTACCCAAACTTTGACTATGGGATAAAGAATATAAAAGCCAATAAGCTGTAATCAGCTTGGAGAATAGCAAAAATCTTTCCAGAACTGCTACTTTCATGAAATTCTTGCTATCTTGATAGGAAACACAATTGGCAGCTCACATGAGACTCTGATCATAGGAAGTCTGACACTGACTGTCTGCTTAGGTTATGATCCAAATCTGAAATCCAAAGCATTCAGAGCCAAGAATTTGTGTTCATAGCCAAGGCTGTGTATTCTCCTGTCTATAATCCTGGGATTTATTAGACGTGTGTGTTTATTGAGTATCAGCTGAGAAGTAGTGTTGCAAACTGCACTAAACTCTAACTTTTCTTGACTGTAGCCCAGGCTCCAATGCTTAGTTCAGAGAATGCAATCAGCCCAAATATATATTGACTTTGGGTGCAGGAAATGTGGGCAACTCTTCCCAGACCAAATATATATTGACTTTGGGTGCAGGAAATGTGGGTAACTCTTCCTATGTGTGGCATATCATGCAGTAGCCTTTACACCTGTAGGTGCTAATATCCTGTTTTTCCATAGATTCATAGATTAATTCTAGCCATAACAGGAGGTCTTGTGCAGGCAAGCACACGGAGCTAAGTGCATACAAATCTCCTTTAAGAATAAATGAATTTTCTGCATGTGGGGGGAAGAAACAATTCTGCCTTAAGAAATAGAGTAGAATCCAACCTGTTAAATATTTTCAATGTTGAATATAGTATTTCCTCCCCACTGCTCGCACTTCCAAATATGCCTTTGTTCATATTTATTGCAGAAACAATACTACAACTCTGGCATAAGGCTTCACCCTGGTTTTTAGAGGTAACAATGCTAAAAATATCAAGCAAACCTGGGCAATGTGAAAAATGAATCATAAAAAACAAGCTGAGGCCATTCTTGAGAATATTACTGGCTAAATATGACCCATTTTGAATAATGCATCCATTTCACAAGCATTTAGGTCTCTCACGGTGGTTTTATAATATGATAACTTATCTCCAAAGATGTCTTTTGAAGAAGAGCATAAGATTGGATCTTATGCAAAGTTTCCATGAATGAGTGTTCATTAAAAAAGCTTATGGTTGGAAGTAATTTCAAAGTAAAGGCCATTACTTTCTGTTTTTCTTATTTTTAATGTGACATGTATTACCTGTTTCTACTTGTAAAATTTAATCTTTCATATCATAGAATCATGGAATGGCTTGTGTGGGAAAAGACCTTTAAACCCTTCCAGTTCCAACCTCACCCTGCTGTGGGCTAGTTACCCCCACCAGATTGGTCACCCCAGAATCCCATCCGTCGTGGCCTTGAGCACCTGCAGGAATGGGGCATCGACAGCTCCTCTGGGCAGCCTGTGCCAGGGCCTCAACACCTTCTGAGAAAAGAATTTCCTCCTAATGTGCAGTACATACCCCTCCTCTTTTAGTTTAAAACCACTGTCTTTGTCCTATCTGACTATCTGACCTATCTGAGGTCCTCCCAGAGACTTCTGCAGGCTAAACAAGCCCAGCTTCCTCAGCCTTTCTCCATAGGATATGTGCTCAGCCCTCCAGTCATCTTCCTGGCTCTCTTCTGGGCCTGCTCCAACAGCTCTGTATCGTTCTTGTGCTGGGTGCCTCAGGCCTGGACACAGTACCCCAGATGGGGCCTTATGAGGGCAGAGCAGCAGGGGACAAGTTCTCTCCTTGCCCTGTCTCCTTGCAGCTACACTGCTGTTACTGCAGCCCAGGATACAGCTGGCTGTCTGGGCTGCAAGTACACAATGCTGGCACCTGTTCACCAGGACCATGTCCTTCTAGGCAAGGCTGCTTGCAATGTGTTCTTCTCCCTGTACTCATGTCTGAGATTGCCTTGATTCAAATGCAGTGCTTTTCACTGATCTTGT